TATTTGATTAATTAATTTTTTGTAACTGTTTATTGGTCCAAAACACTAAAATTCAAAAAACTATTCAAAAGTATCTTTTCGATCAGCTTTTTGGAAAAATCATTTTGTATGTAATAGCTAAGTTATCAAACATCTTTATACAATTAACTAATGTTATTAACTAGTTAAACCCATTAACCCAATTAGTCTTTTTACCTTTATTTAGAAATACATGTTGATGAAAATATATAGATTATTAAGTTTTTCTGATTGTTAACTATTTTGCATTCATTAATTATTATATTTGTTACATGATTATTCTTTCATAGGCTTGCGTTCAGGTATATTTATATATATTCTCTCAAAAATTATCTGATCTATTGAACCAGTGAATTAAACATGTACCTAATGTACCTATTGACAGGAGGAATGGGTGGTTTGTAGAGTGTTCCAAAAGTGCAATACAATAATGAAGAAACCAGTGCAGGCAACATCAGCATCTTCTCCACAATCCCTAGATGGTTCTCCTTGTGACACCAACACCACCATAGCCAATGAATTGGGAGACATTGAGCTACCAAACTTCAACACTACTACAATAATGGGATCAAATGGGATCCTCAACAACATTTCTTTGCAAAGCTACAACAACAATACCAATGAGGGCATGAACATGAACAATCTCAACATGATGAACAACAACACTACTCTCCCCCTTCTCCCTTCTTGGCCACCATCAACCTCCTCCTTGCTCACCTCAAACCTCTCATCGGTCAACTCTTTTCTCTTTAGGGCATTGCAGCTTAGAGGCCAAGCTCACCATCAAGCTGCACCTATAACCACAAGTGATTACACCTGCTACAATAACAACATGCCACAATTTGGTAACAATGATTTGATTAACTCTAATGACTTCACCACAACTTCTACTTCCTCTATGGTTTTAGATAATTCTGCGGCCAATCACCATCACCATCATCAGCAGCAAAACCCACAGGACTCCCACATCTGGTGAATATCAGGACTACTTAGCTAACAGCTTGTAAAGAAGCGCGCTAGAAAGGTTTATTTTAGTGTATCGATCTTCCAATCGATCCATGGAGATTTGGCCAAGAAAAGGAGTAAGTACAACACCCTGTCAATATTGTATTTTAGGGTATGTTAAAGTTCACACAAAACAATAAGCTCGATCGAATAATTATATATACATTGTTGGTTTTAAGATTATTATTATGTTTTCTTGTACTGTAACAGTCATCATCAACGTAACTGTGGTTATTGACTTGGGAAAATCCCTAGTCTTTTTAATTTGTTGTATATTTTGTCTTTCATTCACTACATACATATATTATTATATATTCAAGATCTATCTATCTCAACAAGTACAGTTGCAAGGTGGACACAGTTCTAAGACTGTTCTACTACTGGAAATTATAAAATTTCCGACCACTAAAAGTGATCTTAAGTCAAGTCGAAAGCAAAAAGTGGTCGGAAATAGCAACAAAGGTTTTTCAGGATACCAAAATTAAAGTGGTCAGAACAAGGCTTTCCACTTGATCACTTTCAGGTGGTCGGAAATTTCATAATTTCCAGCAGTGCTCATAACTATGAATATATAGTTCAAAAATTATGAAGATATAGTTCTATAATTATGAACATATAGTTGTGTAATTATGAATATAGAGATTCAATAATTGTGAATATGAAGTTCAAAAGTTATGAATATATAGCTTTATAATTATGAACATATAATTCAATAATTATGAACATAGAACCGTATCCACCTTGCAAGGTGGCACAGTTCCACAGCATAACAATTGTCTCTATACTATGCCCCACATTTTAGTCATCAAGCTCGCACGGGCTTAGCTCAATGATTTAGTAAGCAGTATTTAGGAAAAGAGATCAAGATTCGAACCTCGCGACGGCAGTGTAGGGATTATGCTCAAAATTTACATCATTCCAAATACTCTGTCAGGCGGTGTGAGGGACTCTTGAGATTGGGGATTCAAGAACATTTTAGTCATCATCAAAGAAATTATTAATTAAAGCTCATAAAATCACCTCAGCTCGGCTCCAACTTGCAGCAAGAAAAATTCTTACCTGTTGAATGAAATTAGTTGGATTAGTTGGACCACCTTATCATCATCTTAATAAGGGGAATTGGTAATTTGATCTTGTCAAGCAATTTATGTTGCCTATTTTAGTGTCCACATGATGTGATCGCATTGACAATCATGTCTTTAGTTTTAGTTACAGTAAAATTTTAAGTTCGAATTTCACCTCATACATTAAATTTATATTAAATTAAAAAAAAAAAAAAAGAGTAAATATTGTACAATGCATCATAAGGATATCATCATATTCAATAATTTTGTAGAAAACTAGATAGTGAAAGCAAGACATTGAACACATTTTGAATCATAAATGTCGAAAATTATTGCATAAAATACTAAATTTAAAACATCCTTGAAGGATGAATAACAGTTGTATTGAAAAGTTGCATTTGGGCCTTTGTTTCACTTTTAAAGCCCAATTTTTCCATTCTCCACAATAGGCCCAAGCAATTATTATATCATAGATCATGGTCTATCTTGTATTATGAATTCTGATGTAAAAACTAATGTATTTACAATTCACATATTTTGTATTTGCCGTTAATAGCTTATGTGGCTTAAGTAAATTGAAGACACATAATATGTTAAATGCAGACATATAATAAGTTGTTAAAATATTATTGGGGTGCTTGTCGAATGGGTATTAGCTGATAGCTGATTAAGTTAGTTGATAACTAATAGTTGATTGGGTTAGCTGGTTTGACCACCTGATAGTATTATCTAATTGTAAAAAAGTGTTTGATAAATTAATTATTTACTTTTAGTTGATTGTATGTAAAATGACCTATAAGAGCATAAACATATTGTGCTAATTTTTAACTCTTAAATTACTTTTACTATTTATTTATTTATTATTATTATTATTATTATTATTGTTATTATTATTATTATTATTATTATTATTATTATTTATTACAAGGATGAGTGAAAATCAAAAAAGAAAAAAAAAACATTATTATTGTTGTTACAGAAACATAAAGGAAAATGGGCAAGGCATGTGAATAACAACAAGAGAGATAAATATTAGAAATGGCAAGTGTAAATGGTCTTTTCATAATTAAGGTCAATTAACTAACCAAAAAGCGGGGATGACAATTTCAATCTGCCCCGTGGATATCCACCCCAATTAACTCCGCCATGGATCGAATTTTTTGAGTGATGACGGCAATCGTTATGCCATGGAACCGTGTTCACCATTCCTAGTGAACACGGTTCCAGCGATGTTAGTACACCGTTATTTTTTTTTTCTTAATTAATTGTCTAACTTTTCTTCTTTCATTTTCACATTTCGCGGTTTCACTTTAATTTGAGGTGAGCAATGATTTCGGATATTCATAAATTATGAATTCATGCCTGCACATTCACTTTGGAACCATGCCTACACATTCCCGTCCGAAATCACGGACATTCATAAATTATGAATCCATGCCTGCACATTCACTTTGGAACCATGCCTACACATTCACTTTGGAACCATGAGATTATGAATTTTCTGTTATAAGATTATGAATTTTCAGTTATGAGATTATGAATTTTCTGTTATGATATTATGAATTTTCTGTTATGAAATTATGAATTTTCTGTTATGAGATTATGAATCTACATTACATTCATAATCTCATAACAGAAAATTCATAATCTCATAACAGAAAATTCATAATTTAATAAATATTTTACTTTTATGCGATTATGAATTTTCTGTTATGAGATTATGAATTTTCATTACATTCATAATCTCATAACAGAAAATTCATAATTTGATCAAACGCGTGCCGTTAACTCCACATCCACGATTTTTTTTTTTTTTTTTTTTTTTTTTTTTTTTTTTGCATAAAAACGACGTCGTTTGGACTTGTGTTCACCATTCACGGTGGACACGTTTCCAGGGCATAATTTGCGTGATGGCGGGTGGTGGGTGTTAAAAAAAATAAACCTGCAATGGGTCGGGTTGGATTCGAGTTCTATCTACAAAACTCGCCTAGAACCCCACTCGACCCACCATGTGTGTGTGTGTGTGTGTGTATATATATATATATATATATATATATATATATATATATATATATATATATATATATATATATATATATAACAGTAAAATAAGTACTAGTATATAGTTATTTATAAAAGTTTATATAACTTCGTGTATCCTTTTTTCTATTTTTATATTTAGACTACTAAGTTTACTTTTAAAAACAATTTAGTTATTATATTTAAATATTTCTATTAATTTATGTTTTAGTATCACTAATGAATTTTATTATGTGTCAGTAATTTAAATATTATTTAAAAAAATATATGATAAGTGGTGGGTACCCGTAGTGAGCACCCGCACTCATAGGGTGGGGATGAGTTTTGAAAAAGTCCACCCGATGTGAGTTGGGGGTGGGGGTGGGTGGAGAAAATATAAGGTAGGTCGGGTGATGGATGTAGCCCTCCCCGTCCCACCCCCGACCCATTGCCATCCTTACCAAAAAGTCTATTCTTCTTAGCATTTCTAATTTTGACTTATTGCCAAGTTAATGCAATAAGTCATTTTATCAAACATTTAAAGTAGCTTATTGACCAGTCAAACTTAGCTAAATAAGTCAAAATTGGCTTATCAGCTATGTTACCAAATAGAACATATGTATATACAGTTAACATATTATGTGTATATAGTTACTATGTTATATGTCTGTAGTTAACATATTATGTATTTTCAGTTTATTTAAAAACACGTGAACGGTTAAATGCAGGTACAAAATATATCAACACATAATTTGAATATTATTTTAGACCAAAGTCCACAATGCAAGGTATACCCTAATCTATTGTATAATTTGTCAGCCCAATTATTTGGGCCTCCACTTGGGCTTAAGTGCTGAACGACCCAAAAGGCCGAAATATAAATGCTCTCCTCAATTTCTCACGCGGCACAGTTGCCAGAAGAGAACGATGGCGGGAAAGGAGGTCGCCGGCGAAGGTTTGTCGGCGAACATCGCTGGAATGTCGAAGAATCAGCTCTACGACATCATGTGTCAGATGAAGGTGTGCGTATATACGTATAGATGTGCTGTATTTCGTCTGTCACTCACGCATTCGCTTGCATGTTTGAGATAGGGCACTGGACTGGAATTTCGATTTTCGTTTAATTTTTAATATTTTTGTGTGCTGCAGAAGCTGATGGAGCAGAACGAGAAACAAGCTAGGCAAATTCTCATTCAAAACCCTACCTTGGCCAGAGATCTCTTTCAGGTCTTAATGATTCTATAGTTTATTCCTTTTTCTGGGGAAAATCTTATGTACTTGGTTCGTTTTCTCTTTGCCATTTTTTAATGAAGGAATGTTGCGAAATAGGGTCTGAAATATAATTGAAGTAAGGTAGAGTTTTAATTTTTGTATAATTATGATGAGTGTCACAGATTTGGAGGACTAATTTTCAGAAGTGAAGAGAAAGTTGCATAAAGGAAAAGGAAGATAATAGAAGTTTGTATGGGGAAGAACTAGTTAAGAGTAGAGAAAATGTGATATTAAATTGATTCCTGATCATTATTTCTCTAGCTACTAATGAGCTATATAATTCCTGAGAAATTCACCATTACATTGTTTTAGTGACCCCTAATGACTTCTTCATGTGGCCATTTAGTTGATGAAATGCAAAGAATGATAAAAATTGAAATTAAAACCAGGCTAAAAGACTAAGGTGTTGGTTGTTGTTTGAGAACAGTACCACTTGCTTGCTTGAAGTCCCCAATTCACAAATGCAAAAAACCATATTTTCAATGAATTTAAGCCATTCTACTTAATTATCATCCTTATACCCCAAGATCCAAGCATATTAGGGATCTTTTGTCTTGGCAATTCTTTGTTGCTCAAAGCATCATCATTCAATAGAAGTCACAAAATATATCATGTTTTAAAAGCACGAAGTTAATGTGAATGACAGAAATTAATATAGTTGACATGGAATGCTATTAGTTACAATAAAGGGGTATGGTTTGGCAGTTGGGTTGAAAATTGGTGATTTAGGTCTGTCAAGGGGGTCTGTGTTCTGAAAACGATTATAGTGGGCATGAAGACAAGTGTTAACTCCTTTCAATTTGATCCTTGAATAATAAGAATGGTTTTCAGCTCAAAGAAAATGTATAAATTTGATTATTAGAAATGGTCGTGTCCTTTTATTTTATTAAAACAAAAGAGAGCATATGGCAATTGTTGTATGTGCATATGTGGCTTCTGCACCGCATAATTAAAGTGAATAAAGTCTTGTCTCTGCCTTTGCGTGACTGTGATTGTGATTGCAAACACAATTTTAAGGTTCTTAATTTTTGCTGGTGGTTTCTGAGATAATTCTTATAGCTGTGAGGATCTTATTTCTATGTTATGATGTGTAAATGACTAAATGCATTCAAATATATAATTATTGCTAAATTAAATTTACAAGGTTGGGCCTATTTTTCTATACTATATCTTTCAGAGAATCAGATATGATAACTCATAGATTATAGAAACAAGAAAGTTCATAATGATTGGATAAACAATCCCTCCTAATGCCCCAACACAGTCTTCTCACACCGAAAACCTTCACTATTTTATGAATGTTTAGTGGGTTATATAGTACAGTGGGAAGATGATCCTTGCTTTAAAATGCTGAAATTCTTCTCACTTGGACAGACTAATATTGACCATACAGCAAATGAAGAAATCATGTCATGTTCTTTTTTTTAGCAATGCTGACAATGGATTCAAGGTTTTCTCTCATTTTGCGCCACAAGTTTGGCTTAACTTCTATTTGACTAGAGTTTATGATTATTCTGCTTATGCACATTGTAGCAATTAGACATGAAGTTCAGAAGATGTTGAATCTCTTTGTTAATACTTAATACTATGATACTAACCAATCTCTGAAATTGATTCTTCATTGATTATTTACTAATGTAGTCAACATTGTGTGTTAATTAGGCACAAATAATGCTTGGGATGGTGCAGCCAACACAGTCGGTATGCATTTTATCTTTTCCCATGAACTCCTGCTGATTGTATATGAGGCCTGCATATGTATATGCATGCATAATTTTTTCATCTCCTGATAATTTTGCTTTATTTTAGACGAGCACACCAACTCCTGCAACACAAAGTACGCAGCCATCACCATCTCATGTTCAGCAGTCAAGTAATCAGGCTGTTCCAGCAGTGTCTGCACAATCAGGTTTGCAGGACCAAATGAGAAAGCAGCACCATAGCCAACCTCCATTATCAATGTCATCTTCGATTGCTCCTTCATCAAACCTTCAACCCCCCTCATTGCCATCTCATCCATTACAGCAAGTACAACAACCAAAAGGACATGCTAGTGCCCTATCAGCACCAATGTCACTGCCACAATCAGCTCAAGCTCCTAACATGCCACCACTTCCTCATCATTCTGCCGCACAGCCACCGCCACATATTCAATCTCACATGCCCTCTGCCCCTACTCAGTTGGACCAATCAATACAAACTAGTGGCATTCAGCACCTGCCACTGCAGCCACCACTACCACCGCAGATGAGACCTTCAATGCAATCCTTCCCTCAGCAAATTCACCACCAGATGGGGCCCAATGTGGGATTTCAGCAGTCTGGCAGTCAGATGCACCATTCACAACCCATGTTTCATGTAAGCTACAAATAAGTTTTCAGGTTATTGAATTGACTTCATTGATATATAAATTCCAATCTTCTGTTCATTTTGATCATTTAGGCAGCTAAGCCTCCCGCAGCAATGGGCCCTTCATTTATGCAAGGACAGCCACCACATCCAAATCAGCCACCTCCCCAGTCACTATATCAGGTGCCTTAGACATTATTCTAAGCTTGAGTGTTACATAATTAAGTCATTTTGGTTTTAAATCTTATCTTCTCTAGCAATGATAAACTATTAGATTTGCCTGCTGTAATTTGGTTGTTAATCAATTGAAGGTTGAATCTATTTATTTGGTTGAAATTTATTCCTTCTAATTTTAGGGCTTCCTTCTCTCTGTGATTCACGAATGACTCAAATGTCAAGAAGTGTAGTTCCTTGCTAAAATATTACTAATGGGGTTAACTACTCATAAGCTCAATATATCTTCAGAAACAAAGTAGGAAACAAGATGTACCACCTTCAGACCATAAAACCTAAATAAGTCCTCATCTTGAGAGAAACAGAAACTACATGCATAACAAGATTCTGTTTCTGGTAATGGGTTTTCTGAAACTAACTCCTATAAATGAATTCTGTTAAATGTAAAGAGTTTCTGAGACATAATTCCCAGTGCTTGGATTCCACTGCTCTGCTGAGGTTGGGTTTGGCATAGAGGTCAAATGCTCAGCTGTTTAAGCCATGTAAAACATTTCTCTTGAAGCTGGGGTAAGACCCTATTTGATGTGGAGCCTTCTGCACTATGTCCCAAACTTTTTGTGGTCTGCACACCCATTTCTTAATGTGCTACACATTCACTGTTTGTGAAAATTGATCTAGAATTATTTGACATATAGGCATAAAGATATCTGTGTCCATCATTAACCAGTTAAAAATGGTTTGATTGTTTTCTGAAAGCAAGTACTCTAATTGTCTTGAAGTTCATTTGTACCTACCTACTCTACCTTTTTGGTTCCTGAAATGCTCCTAAGCTAACATGCTTGCCAACATCTGGTGTGTTTCTAAGGCGGGAAGTTCACACATAAGAAGTGATTTCAATCAAGTTGGAAGCTCCATGCCAGCAGATAGAGGCTCTCCTTGGATCCCTGGCCTACCAGAGAATGCACCTACAGGACAACTTCCCGGACCGCCACCACCATTCCCCAGCCAAATGGGCCCTGGAAATCAGCCTGCTCGACAACCAGCAGTAATTTATGCATTTCTTTTCTCTTGTATTTTTCAATGTTATTTTACTTGAGGTCCCAAAAACATGTGAATTTTATTGATGATGCAGTTGACTCCGGAGATGGAACAGGCCCTTCTTCAGCAAGTGATGAGTCTCACGCCGGAACAGATTCATTCATTGCCTCCAGAGCAAAGGACTCAAGTTCTTCAGTTGCAACAGATGCTGCGTAAATGAGACCCAAAGTGGCACCCCTACACTCTTGCTGCAATACTGCCGCATAATGAACTTGTTTGTATTCAGAATTAGGGTCTATGATTTGAAATGTTCATTTAAGATCAACCCGGACTTAAGGTTTCAAGGCTCTTGTATTTGTGATGACCGACTCCCCCTCCCCTCCCCTTTTTTTTTTTTTTTTTTTTTTTTTTTTTTTTTTTTTTGGGTGGGGGGGTTAGATTTATGCAATGAAAGGGTATCGCTATAAGAAGTAAAGTTTTTGTACTATACAATTTTATTTATTTAGAATTAACTTGTGTCAATTTTTTAATTCATAAGTAGTTAATGAGTATGAAAGATTATGCATACTATTTGGTAAAATTTTGGTTCAGATAGCCACATCGTCTTGTTCATCATATATTGAATTTGAAGGGCTAACATTAATTCTGAAATGCTCTCTTCCGTGCCTATTTCCACATAATTAAATTTGCAATGCACCTGAATCCTTCCTTTATATATATATATACCAGCGAGAAATAGCCAGAAATTTTTAATGGCTAGAAACTAGAATGATGAGGGAAAATTTGTCTAATTTGTCTTTTGCTTCACTTCTCTTTCTTTTCCATTTTCTTGCTCAGCTTGTTTGTCAAATTCCAAAGTCTGATGATGTTTGTTCTTGCTTCTGGATTTGCTATTCTAGAACAAGTAAAAGATGTTGGCATCACCCACTTCTCCGTACTCTTCAATCTTAATTCTTATCCGTCTTATCTCCTCCCAGGACGGATTCACCACTCCGGAATTGAAGAGAGATTCCAGGATATGTATTTGTTCTGACGACCTCCGCTTCAGCTTCGGTGTCTTTTCCTCAACCCCTACCGCAAAACAACCAATAATCACACTAATTACATAAAATCTAAACCAAAAGCTTAATTATAAGTTCCAATTAACCCACTCTTGGTGAGGGAGGAGTTGCAGTCATGCTGGCATTGATTAAAACTAGAAGGCTTAGAAAACAAAAGATTTTAAAAAACGTACCAGCGGTGTGTTAATTGGAACTTATAATTAAGCTTTCTTAGTTTAGATTTTGTGTGATTAGTGTGACTATTGGTTGTTTTGCGACAGGGGTTGAGGAGAGGACACAGGAGCCAAAGCCAAGGTGAAATTTGAAACCGGAGCCTATACGTATCTTGGAATCTCTCTTGAATTCCGGGGTGGTGAATCCGTCCCGGGAGGAGATAAGGCAGATAAGAATTAGGCTTGAAGAGTATGGGGAAGTGGGTGACGCCAACGTCTTTTACTGGTTCCAGAACAGGAAATCCAGAAGCAAGAAGCAGCGCCAGATTTTGAAATTTGGCAAACAAGCAAAGCAAGAAAATGGAAAAGGAGGAGAAGAGAAGAAACAGAAGACAAATTGTCCTCAACATTTTAGCCATTAAAAATTTCCGGCTACTTCTCGCCGGTAATTTGGCGGAAGAGACTATAATTAAGAAAAATTAAATAGTTGTGGAGTCAAATTGACAATTTTAAAACTCGTGCACTCCAATTAACAATACCCCAATAGTCATAGGATCATAAATGAAATTCTCTTTATATATATAGTTTTTTAAAAAAAAAAAAAAAAAAAACTATATTACACCCTTGCAACAGCAATTAAAAAAAAAAAATACTTGGTGTAAGTAGTTTCCCCACTTAGTCCTTGAGTATTATCTCTACCAAATTTGGTGCATGACTTTCATTTGCATCACATTTTTAGTTCAAAATCATACCAACTTTAAGATACTAGTCATACACCAATAATGACAAAAATAATACTTAAAGACTAAAAGTGAATAATTCTTTTGTAAAATAACCATACCATTCATTCCACTTCTGTAGTCTAGAAGAAAATATGAGTAAAAAGAAGAATGGTAAACATGTACATGCATAAATACAAGTTGCACAATTCAAGTAGCTGCAAACAAGTGCAAGCTAATCTGGCTATACATTGACCTCTAGTCCTAACAATGTATACAAGGACCATACAATACAAACTCTATAAATACAGCATAATTAGGGGCTTGACAAAAGATCTGCTTCAGAATAACTGTAATGTTGGCACACACTTGAAGTTGTCAACAGGTGGCCGTTGGGCAACGTATCAGACAAAACCGCTCGCTTTAGCCACAAGATTCATAGAATGACCAATCATTCTGGGCTGAGGTTGTTAGATGCAATTGTTTATAATATGAAACTCTTTGCATTGTTCCTCAAAACTGTTGAGATGCCACTGCCACTCCAATTCTCAATGCTTCAACACCAAAAGATATCATTAGATTATGGTTGCTAAAACTTTGCTGTGTATGCTTTTAGTTCATGCAAAAAATATTGGCACTCTGGTGGAGTGGTGGGTTCCTATAATTATCCTTTCAGAAATCGAGTATGGTCATAATCATACACAGTAAATAACAATGTTGTAGAAGGCGCTAGTCAGGCGAGTAATAATAATAAGAAAACCACAGTAGTATACACATTGCACACCAAAAAAAAATACTCGGTTGAGTTGGCCAACACAGGCGCCTAGGCTGCCTAGTTAGCCGTCTAATGTCTGCCTAAGGGTAAAAAATGTAAAATCCCCTCGGCCTAGGGGCGCCTAGTGCCTAATGCTGATTTTTACAACAGTGGTAAATATAGAGTAGTTTGATATCTGTAACCAAGGACCCAATAAGAAACTTTAAAAACAAGGGCCATAGCCAAGCAAACCAATGCATCTGGCAGAAGTTTCACATAGAACACCTTTATATTAAAATACCGACCAACCCTAATCTCCCCCCCCCCCCCCCCCCCCATCCCTCTCTCTATTTTAGTATTTCACTTTTTCTTTTTTCTATCAGTTAGTTCCAATAGCAAGATGGTGGCCTTCAGAAACATTTTTAATTGTTTTATCTCAAAGAGTATCCAAAGTAATGCACATTAAGAGTTGGCGTATCAACAAATTTTCACTGCTAACTAAATCAATAGATTACCTCAAAAATGGAAGTTAGTCTTTGTGCCCCCAGAAGCTCGATAAAACAAGAAAGAAATCTGCTATTCTCTTTGCGCAAATGAAAACTCTGCATCGGAATACTCAGAATCTTCATCACTCTCCCATTCAGGATCTTCATCTTCATCGCCATCAGAAACCATCCACGAAGCTTCAACTTCACTCTATACATATGCGTATATAAACAATAAAGATCATTCATTTGCCATTATCACTTTAGCTATCAAGCCATATTGATCAAAAATTTGTCCCAAAAAGAACTTAAATAAGCTGTCACCAGTTACAACACTGACACTAGCAGTCTGGGACTTACCAGACATTCAAGTTAAAGAACTCACTTGGGTTAACTCTGAAACATGATTGAACTTCGCGTGCTTCCGGTCACTGCCATTTACATCTTGAGAATCACCCTATACAGTATCCAAAATATAACATGATAAATTTCAGTTGAGTCAAGGAAAAGGAATTGATGTTTAAATGTATAATGAAGTTCAGCTGTAGTGACAGCACTAGCATAAATATAGTAGGTATCAAGCAGATAATTCCATCAACACAACCAAAATTTTGGTGCAGTCAAGATTCAGTAGCAGTAAAATACCCATGAGAAAGGGAAAACTTGAAACTAATTCAGATACAGCTTAGAGGTACAGACCAACTATGTCAACAGAGTACAAAAAGAATGTGGTAAGCAAATGCCCAACAATATGCAATGAGAGTTATTCAGTATCATAAGCGAGATAAACCAGTTCTACTCCATAATGTGATTATCTTCAAATTTTTGTTTATTATGATTACATCTGTTTCTTGTTGCATCTCCCTTTATTAGGGATTTTACAATATCAGCTACATTTTTTTCAAATAAAAATAAATACCTAGTACCAAAAGATGCAATTTTGGGATGTGAACCATATAAAAAAGAACCAACTTACTCAAAAGTCAGTGTGCTTTCCATGAAAATCATCCAAAAGAGTTGACTTATTTGAGGAAAAGAGTCCAGAAGAATTGGGAGATGCAGCTAAAAGCTTGTTCCCAAGAGGAAGGAGAGTGAGAAAGTATTTTCTTGTTTTATATTCCCAGTAGAAACAACACATGGCACAAAATCCAGATCTGTATTTATATCTATATCTATATAATAACAAAAGTGCTGCCAAAAGAACTTCTCGCTCATTTCTATATAAATATGTTCTATTATATGTTATATTATACACTATATAATTGTATTTCCTTAATAAATGCAATCAATATTAATTTTTGTAAATAAATGACATGTTCCAATTTCTTAAATATTTTACAATATAGATCACATTGAAATTATATATCTTGAATAAATAAATATATACAAATTAAAAATAATAGTTTAATCCTATAAATATATAAATTAAAAATTAATTTAATATTATTACGAGAAGTGGCAACATGTATAATTGACGGGCAAAAAGTGTTATTTTCCTATAATTCAAGAACAAAAAGTGTCATTTTTCTTAAATGAAATTATAAATATATAAGATATAAGATTTATGATAATGATGATACAATTATGAATATATAAAAAAAAAAATTCAGCATTAAATATATAATGTACTACTCCTTCCGTCTCATTTTATGTGTCTGGTTCGGTTAATAAGGCTTGACTAAAATTATTTACAATTCAATTTTTCATAAATTAAGTTTAGTATTAATATATATAAAATTTATATATTTAGAAACAATATTAAAAGCACTATTAAAAACAAAAATATCATATTTTAAAATAATAAAATACTAATGAAAATCAACAAAGAATAAAAAGTCGTTTGACCAATGAATATCAAACAAGACAAGTAAAATTGGATAGAGCGAGTAATACAAATTCATATCACTAAACCGCTTTCACGTGGACAAAATACTTTGGGTGAGAGCTTTAAATGAATTTTTAAAAAATAAAATAAAATAAAATAATTTATTTATTTCTTTTAATCTTCAATAAAAATTGATTATTACTTCAAGACTTTTTCTAAGATTTCTTTTACATTATTTATAGTATGACTTTATTTATATAGTTGATTAACTATAATAGAAATATGTCAATAAATAATTTTTAAGTTATATATATAAGTTATAATAATAAAAATAAACATAAATTAATATTAAAAAAAAAAGATTGGTTTTTATTTTTTAATGTACTTGTAAATTGTAATGTTCAAAATAATAATTTCTATGTTGTAAATTATAATAAAAATATGTAACTACATAAATAATAATTTATATATTAAAATATATAATCTTTAATATTTTTTTCTAATTTTTTTTTTATTTTCCGGACTATGGACCAAGCTAGCCTTTTCTTTATTGTTAGGACCGGGCCAGCCCAAGCCCGCCTATTAGACACCTCTATGCACGGATAAATTACTAGTTAACATCATAATAACAGTTTATTCGAGCAGCTCCAAGCATGTCTTATTTTTGACAAAGAAAGAACAAGGCAACCAAGAAATGTGGTCTTGACTGCTAATAGAATGAAGTTTTGGCAGACAGAAAAGTTCACAACCAGTGAGGATATTGGCAATTGAAAGCACAATTGTCTAATTCAAGCAACAGATATCTACTCAGTTGATACCTATGACTCTATGAGTGCATTAATATTAACTGAATATGAAACTATGACTTACAATTTCTCTTCTCGTTTGCTCTATGTTATTTTCCAGTTCAGAGATGTGCTGACTCAGAGCCTACAGAATAACGTGCATGTATCAGAAAGAATAAGTATATAATATAATTTTTAACAATGAAGATATCACAAAGAAACATTGTATGTAGAGAATGAAAATACCTCATATCGTTGCAAAGCCACTCGACGCTTTAGTGCCTTTGCCTTAGTCAGAAGGTTCCTTGGCCTGAGGCTAATGGGTCGTCGATAATTTTTCCCACGATAGAAAATTAGAGAATAACCTTTCGGTACTCTATCTATTGCCACTAGGATTCCACCACTTTCATATTCCAAGAGTCTAGCTGTTTCCTCAACAAAAGCAAGCTCCTTTTCTTTTGAAATTAACTTTACAAGTTCTCTGTGCTTCCAATGTAGATGCATGTTCTCAATAACACCATCAAAAACTCCGCGAATACCTTAAAGGTCAGAAGATTAAACAGAAAATTGTCAATTTCAAGTAGGATATAATTTTATTAAAAATAAAAATAAAAATCAAGTGAAATAACTGACCAAGTGGCAAGTATGATTTCATCTTCAATCCAACCTGACGATACATGACCCTTTCCTCCTCTGTGATTGTTTCCTGGTCATCAGAAGGACCAGCAGGAACCCAGGATGCTACAATTTTTGATAGAAGGTTCTCTGCTTTAAGCTTCTTGGCTTGAGACTGTTGCATTAAAGAGAAAAAAGTTCAGACAAAGATGTGTATACTGTATGCATTGTGCTTAGAATGAAAGTATTTGCAACCAAAAAAATTAGGATTTAACAGAGAAGCTACTAGCAAAAGCCAAGTTATATTCATTTATATCCTAAAATAAGGAACAATAGCATTAGGTAAGGAACCATCATATTTTCTATCCAATTAAAACAAAGAAATATACTTACAATGGCTAATTTATGTTCAAGCCGCTTGATTACTCTTTCAGTCCTGGCTCTAGCTGCATCTTTCAACATCTTTTCACGCTCTTCATTGGATACATCTCTCCCCCATTGGGCTTGAGCCTCATAAAATTCTGCTAAAGTACCAGCTAGTGCGTGTCCATCATTATCAACAGGTGCTACTGCTGCCAACCCTCTTCTCTGTTTCTCTTCAACATCATTAGCCTCATATAGTTCTGCTAAATTACCAGTTAGTTCATGTCCATAGTTATCCACAGCCAATAATGTTGTTGCTCCCTTTCGCACTTTTTCTTCATCATCTAGTATCTGTTTTGTTATTTCCTGTCTTTCTGCTAAAGCAGATGCAACACTTGGGGGAACAAAATCCTTTCCCCGATAGATGACTATGTAGAATTTGTTTCTTAGCAATAACACTCCACCTGTTAATGCCTGTTATATGAGAGGTTGTTAGTTGCAGTAAGCTGCATACATCTTGACATGTGCTCATTCTCCTACTCCTTCCCGAATAATATAAAAGAGACAGGAAAATTAGATCTAGCTACATGGAATTATAGACTTTACAATGTACCATAATGTTATCTATCAAAATACTATTGCAGTTCTGAATAGCAGTGTCTCACAAAAATTTCCCTATGGCATCAGAACTCATTTATATCTATGTGAAAAATTCACACAACATATACTAAACCAAACCACTATACACGCATACAGTTGCCCGTCCTTCAAAATTCAAAACCATTAGTTTGGAAGTATTCTAACCACACAATATCTAAGTTGAATACTAGATATTAGAGACAACTAAACAAGCACTGAATATAAGTCATCAATTAATTTTTGTTTTCTTGACGAGACAGAGAGAAATACATAATAGAGAACCAGAAGTGTTCTTATAATTTGGTCTTCACCAAGAGATTATAGATGCAACTTCCCTAGTATTTGGTGGCAAGCCCAGAGCTTAAAGCAATAAAGCCAATAAATAGCAAATGTTAAAGTAGAAGGAAACAAAAGTTAAGGATAATAACTCATCAATACACACACACACACTTGAAAAATTCCACTACTCTTGCAACAAATGAAAAGCAAGGAAACCACTTCCTCCAACACTAGATGTGTCAGAAGGTGCTGAATAAAATTTGTGCATTCCTTTCTAAACAAATACACCAAGGGCCAAAGTAGCAAATTTCCGTATACATACAGGAAAGAAATTTTTAGGGCATCTAACACAATGCCAACATATGTAGTATTCAACTTCCAAAGTATAATAAACAAATTACTTGAAGTGCCAAAATGCATGAATTTTAGATGTCTGTTGGTTCTAAAATATGATCCCTTATCCACTGAATCCTAAACTTGATATGTTCTGAACATTTTGTCTCAAATCTATGCACAATCATCAGATTACGTCATAAAACAGAAAGGTACAGAAGAATTGAGAATGGCGTATAACAGATAAAACCCAACACACCTTCAACTCCTCAGACATTAGTTTGTTGTTTGTATTCTGAATTCCACGTTTCACAGCAATTTTCGCAATTAAACTTTTCTCCCAGAGTTTGATAATAGCAACTGCCAAACCCTGATGGTGTCTATTTCTCCCTGAATCCATGATGACGCTACAACTTAGACAATGTAAGTCCTGCAATATAAAGTACAAAAAGACAGAAAGTACCTAGAGCAAAATGGCAAGGGAGTGATTTTGCAAGTTTTCGTAAATTAGTCATTTCTGCATTGGTTAGGTTAGGTCTCATTCTGGTAGGAAGAAGCCGAAAAGGAGTTTTGTAGCCGGGAACTGTCAGAGGAAGTAAATCAGCATCCACAGGAAGAATTCCTGTTCCCCACCAATCTTCAAAGCGTGGACCTAAACCATCTAGCAACTTATTAAATTCAGCCTCTTCTGCTGTCATGCTTTTATTGTGGATAACCGGGTTACTTTTTTCCTCAACTGGGTGAAAGCTCTTATTTTCGTTGTTCACAGATTTATCAGAGGAAGAAACTTCTCTATCTTTGGGTTCAGCTCTTGAAGAGGGCCCAAGATAGTTATTTCCACGGTACACCGCCATAACACTTCCAGACCTCCATACCACAAGTCCACCTGTTCGACGCTGATGATAAAAAGGGGTCCATTGAAGACCATATTCATATAAGCAAAATGACTGAACAGCTCAACTAAATAGTAGCAGGCAATTAATATCATATTGATATACATCTCAATTGGCCAGTGTATTATAAATTACATACTTCCAATTTAGTTTGCATAGGATTATTCAGTTGCATGAAATGTATAGTGTGGATTTATTTCAGCAGGTATATTCTGGAAGAGAAAGATCCAATTTAGTTTGAGGAACTTTGCTAAAACATAACAATTTATTTAATGATCAACATTTCTTACATATTTTTGAGTTTTCAACTTACACCATTGGCTCATTTTATTTGAGTGCTTGTTTCATGGCATTAGGTCAATATAACAAGATTTAAATGTGACATTCAAAATCTTATTTCAATCAATCAAATGCCACACCTCTTCTACCCAGAAGAAAATTTTTAATTTAAGCATGGGCAACCTCAATACCTCATTGAGGACCTTAATAAATGGAAGGATTTTAAGCATACAAGCGACTTATGTAAAACCTTCCAAATTGTATGCAAACAGTAAACTGGAACAGAAAAATGAAGAGTCAGAGTTGTTGGCCCAAAATAGCGTTTTCTAAAATTATTGGCAAAAACATTATACCAATCCTACTATGATTCAAGGAATATGAAGATTACTCAAAGAAGGAAACAAAGAATAAATCCAGACAATATGAGATTCATATTTCCAATAAAAACATCAAAGAAGATTATAAAAGGATCCCTTCCCGAAGAGATGTGGCACGCACAATATTTCCCACGTACTGTCTTGAGAGTTCAGTGTATTGAGAGAAAAGTATAAGTATTAAGTGTTTCCAACCTTTGTACTTTAAACCGTGCTCATTTACTAGGTTTTTCTCCTAATATGAGAACTGTCTTGCAGATTAGGAATTTCTCGAACTGCTTTAAAAGTTTTGTGTCACAATTACTGTTCTAAAACATCACGCAATGCTCACAAATTTTCAAGAGTGCTAAAACACAAATAAAATAGTGTAGATTTGAATTTAAAGTCCAAGTGAAAGTGCAGAAACCTCAACGATTTGGTGTGCAGTCTTCATATCATGAGCTAAAGCCTCATGAAACTTCAACCTCACAACTTCAATTTTCCTCCATTTGTCATGAATCTTCTCTAACACTGCCCCAGTCACACCGGCCTTAGGTACATTGATCTTTTCCCTGAGATGCATCCCCTGTTGCCTCAGCCTCCGCAGCTCCTCATCCTCAATTGTTAGCTCTGCCAAGGTGGGTGCCTTCGCAATCCTCCTCCTCCTCCCATCCTCCTCATCATCATCAGCATCCTTCCCCTCCACACTGCGCTCCCATGGCAGCAATGTTTCATCCTCATCCTCATCATCACTATCCAGCAGCATAGTATCAGGCCGAACCCAATCCCTCTTCAACAAATCCCCCAATTTACCTTCCCCATTAACATCCAATCCCGAATTCCCCTCATCATCTTCTTCGTCATCCGAGCCCAATCCCAAATTCCTCAACCGAAACACAATCCTTTCAATCGCAGTCCCCCCGGTTCTGGTGTGCCCGTCGAAAACTCGGGTTTCCGTGTCCAAATCAACGGGATTGGTGCTTGATGCCAATGGCTCTACGGGATGCTGCGGCCACTTGTTGAGCCACGAAGAAGAGTGGGAGGGCTGCTGCTGCTGCTGCTTGGACTTGAGCGGTGCAGGCTTGGACTTACCGTAGTTTCGGGAGGGTATTTTGGCCTTTCCGGCGGCGGCGGTGACGGGGGGGCGGAGGGAAGAAAGAGGTTTAAGCAGGAGAAAGAACGGCGGGCGGCGAGCGGGTGTAGAGAAGATATGCGATGGCATTTCTGTTAAGTTTGCAGTGGATAGAGATAGGGACATCTTCTTCAATTGATGTAAGCTTTCATTGGTTGAGCTCACAGTTATGCAGTGGGCTTCGGAGGCGGGAACTGGACGAAGATGACGATAAGATATACCATACCAGCATTGGGATATTTCCTTTTAAAGGATACTCGAAAGGAGTTTTTTTTTTTTTTTTTTTTTTTTTTTTTTGAAATCCAAAGGAGAGGTTTATTTATAGTTTAATTTTTTAAATATTAAGTTTAGAATTAGTATGTAAAATTTAGAGTAAATATTTAAAATGGTCCTTTGATTATAGCTAAATTCATAAATTGGTTCTTGATTTTCAATTTCAACCAATTAAATTTTTAACTTTGTAATTTTAACACAATTTGATCCTCTGTCTATTTGACAGTTTATTGACCGTGATCTTTGAGGATATATATGTAATTTCACGAATCTGCATCATTCACCGCGATTCTGCATTATCGCTGGCGGCTGCGCCTTCATCGGCGATCTCCAGAAGAACCTGCAGCTCTCGTCGGAGCACATGGAGACCTCCAGGATTACGTTGCACCATTTCGGAAACACGTCGTCTTCTTCGATCTGGTACGAACTTAACTAGAGTGCGGTCTGAAAATGCAACCGGAACCTTAAAAAACCGACGATGGACCATGAAATTACATATATATCCTCAAAAATCACAGTCAACAAACGGTCAAATAGACGGAGGATGAAATCGTGTTAAAATTGCAAAGTTAAAGACTTAATTGGTTGAAATTGAAAGTCGATGATCAATTTGTGAATTTAGCTATAGTCGAGGGACCATTTTGGGTTTTTGTTCTAAAATTTATATATTTAAAAAGTAGAAATTACATTAAAAGTAATATTAAACATAAAAAAAAAATTAAATTTAAAATTATAAGAAATGCTAATAGAAATAAGTAAAGAGGAAAGGGTTTATTTAATCAATGAATAATATAGATAAAATGTGACAAATGGAGTATTTATGGCAATGACGCTGGTTATGGTGCAATATTACGGGATGTTCATGGGAAATTTTTGGCCACCTGTTGTGGTAAGCTAAGCTGCGGCAATGATCCATACATGGTTGAATCAATGGTGGTAAAGGAGGCGCCCACGTGGATAAAGACACGATATTTTAATAATATTATTTTAGAAACAGATTGTCTTAATTTTAGTACTGCTTTCAATTCTTGTAAACTGAACTTATCGTATGTTGGTTTGATTATAAAGCAATGTCGAAGCATTTCTACTAACATTGGGAACGTGCATGTTCGCCATGTCAATGGGTCTGCGAATCACTTGGCTCATGTGTTAGCACGAGCATCTGATTCTATGTCTGCCTTAGGTCAGTGGTTTACTGAGCCGCCGGCGTGTATCTCATCTATGGTTGATTATTAATGAAATCCGATATTTCCTTTCAAAAAGAACAAGGGGTTGAATACAGGCGGGAGACTCATTCCTAAACTATTAAGGTAGCGTGAACGCAATCGCTTCAGCCAGTTCATGGACAATTTGGTTCATTGACCTACTATAAAGATGACCGAATATGACTCAAAAGGAATTTAACAGGTTTAGACAATCTGCCTTTGTTAACATGTCAATTGCATTCTCACTAGTATAAATGTTCTACAATGATATCTTACCAGAAACAACCAACTCCCTAACCTTATGGAATCTTACATCAATATACTTAGTACTGGCATGAGGCATGATATACTTGTTGTTACAGAAAACAATTGTAGGTGCTTACTGCAGGTGTCATAAAATTTCAAAATTCTCTTAAGCCAAATTGCTTGAGTATCACAATTTGTTGTTGCAATGTATTATGCATCTACGATTTAATGTGCTACAACATGCTACTTCTTTGAAGGCCAAGAAAATATAGCAGAACCAAGATAAAAAGTATATCTCGATGTGCTTTTATTGGTCTCAACATCTACAGTCCAATCACTATCTGTATATCCAACAAGTTTCATAACTTCATTTAGTAAAGTACGAAATTTCATCATTACTCGTACCTTTGAAATATCTCAGGATTCACTTTAATTTGCTACAGCCCAATGTGATTATTTTGATTCTTCCATGAATCTGCTAAGCATTCCAACTCCAAAACAAATATCTTGCCTTGTAGCTTCGTACACTCCCAATTCACAAGGCCAAGAAAGTAACACATAAGAAGTAAGAACCATATATTCATTTCAAATCTCTTAATGAGTGCCTCATTGAATTATGAGATTAGTTTCAAGTAAAAATCAAATCATCGACATATAGACATATTATAACAATATCTCAAAAATTTGTGCATTTAACATATAAAGTATGTTGATAAGTGCCAAAGATGTTACACTTGGTAGGGTATTTAGGAGGCTTATTATGCTATATTTAGAGTCCTTTAAGCCTAATTCATGTTTAGAATAACTTAATTTGATAGAAGTTAGGAATGAGGACTAAGTATAATTGCCTTTGAAGAAAAGAGCAAAACATTGTCAATTACAGGACATTCCGGCGACAATTTCGTAATCGGAGCATATTTCAAGCTAGGAGTGTCCAAATGAGGTGATTCAAGTGGCTATGGTTTGGAAGCTTCAAGGGCTACAACTTTGGTGAAGGAAAGAAAGGAAAAATCCCAACAGAAAGTTCAACGTAACGCACAACGTGCGTTGTCGGGAAACAGAAAGTACAACGCATTGGACAACGCGCGTTGTGGAATTAGTTGTGCGGCCAGCGCGGAAATTTCAGATTTTCAGCCTATTTAAAGGCTTGTAAGGGGACTATTTGAGAGACTTCTTTTTTTACCATCAATTTTCACTTCAATTTCAACTCTCTTAGGTTAGATTTAGATTAGGGTTAGATATTTCTTCCTTTCATTAGATAAGATTTCCATTTCATCTCTAGAATTCATTATTCAACATTGCTATTTGGATTGCTAGCACATTGGATTGAAGACTTGGGTAACCTATCTTCTTCTTGCTTTAATTTCATATTTGAGTTGTGCTTTTTATCAATTAATGATGATGAATTGCTAGACATCTAGGATTTGGGTTGGAATTGGATTGTGATTGTGTTTTCATGTTTTGTATAGATTAGATGATGGGATTTGATGTATGGATTGAACTTGAATGTCTATATTGTAGAGGTGTGCATATTGACCTTTCTCCATTGTGAGCTCCAATGGAGAGATGGTCAAATGGACGTAAGAGTGGAGAAGGAGCAAGAGATTGCCCTTTTCTTAGTCTTACCCTTGCAATCTCCGGTAGTTCGGGGAGGAAACGGTAGACCGCCCTCTTAGTGTTTGTTAGAATGCCTCACCCGACGTAGGAATTGGGAGTTTAGGTTCTACGCAACCTAATGATGGTGCCATGGTTCTCCCTTAGGATAGTCATGCCTTGCATCACATTCTTGGCCACTTGAGACCAATGAATGCATGATCACGACCCCTTTTCCATCCAAATCCCCATTTTACATTCTTATTTGTTTTATTTAGTTTTCTTGTTCACCTTGCTTGCACACACAACTTTCCATACTCTTACCTCTAGCACCTAGTTCACCTTGTTGACACATCGTGACAACGGATTGTCTTGCACTTTGATTACTCCGATTTGTCATCCTTGAGTTCGACACTCGGGGGGTTCCACAACCTTCGTTTACACACACATCCATCCCACGTATACTTACATCAATCAAAATGGCGTCGTTGCCGGGGATGACAATAGGTGCTAAGTGAAGCGTGCTCACTATGACAATCTAGGAATGTGTCAATAGAGTACTAGGTTGCCCATCCATTTTGTTTTTCTTTATTGTTTTTTTTGTTTTTGTACATATTTTGCTTGTTTCTTGCCTTGGAAGTGGGCACCAATACTTTGCATATTACTTTTGCTCACCTTGCAACTACTTCTAGTTGCAAGTATACATGTTTGGTGGAGCTTTTGTGTAGGAAATTTTTCAAAAACATAGCAAATAAGCTCACTAATACATAAGGATGCTTATCCTTATGGATGTCCACCCGGTGAAGAAGCATCATTGACCCAATTCCGACCTGTGAACAACACCTCCATTACATACCTTATGCAGACCATTATCCGTTACACTACCATACACCATTTCCAATTCACCATTCACCACCACCATACCGGTTTGAAAAAGACCAATTTACACATCCACAAGAACCACAACATACTTACCCACCATACCTTCCTAATGAGCTTGAGTGTCATGAGGAAAAGTGGCACAAGATTATACGTGAAGAAACAGAGCTCTTGCTAAACCTCAAGAGCGAAATCAAAAATGAGCTAGGGGAAGAGTTAGCCATTTTGAAGAATGCTATGTTGCAACCATTGCAACACCTTGAGGACACTCTTCACCACTTGACGAAGAAGCTCACTGCAAACATCGAGATGGAGGCCCAAGCTTATGTTTCAAGGAGTATTACAACACCTAGGGCCGAGGACAATCTTTTGCTTGATGATTCTCCTGTACTTCAAGAGATTCCACTCTATGAATGGACACAACCACAAGGGGTGGAAGAAACTAGTGAGGAGGTGGACAACATCGAGGTAGTGTGGGAAGACAAGGAATCGAATGATGACACTATATTTGGTAACTATCTTGAACCTTCGTGTGTCATTCAATTTGAAAATCTAGATGCTAAATATTGTATTGATTCTATTTGTGCCCCGTGTGGGAATAACCCCCTTGATGATTCTATTGATCCTTTCATTGATGTTTCTTTTGATGTTTTAGGGAGGGGGTGGGGGTGATTCCGTAGATTCTAGTGAGACTGACTCTATGGGTACCAGTGTTGCAAAAATCGCGCCTAGGCACCGCTAGGCGGCCACTGGCCGCGTCGAGGAAGGCCGAAATCGGCCTCCTCCGCGGTCGGCCGGCTAGGCGGCTGCCTAGACCGCCTAGCCGGCCAATCCGTCTAAACCGTGTTTCTTTTTCTTTTTTTTTTTCTTCTCGCGAGTTCGCGACTTCAGAAACAGAGAAGTAGTCTCCGAGACTCCGACACGGCGAATCTGCAGTCCGTCGAAGCTCCTCCGTCCGTCAGTCGCCGACCACGCCCCTCCGCCTCCGTCAGTCGCTGGTCGCCTTCGAGAATTAGAGAGATGAAATCAGATGATGCTCCGAGAGTTGGAGACTACTGGAGAAATAGATGCTTTGAGAGATGAAACGAGATGATGCATTCATTCAAGGCCAAAGCTAACGTTGGGAGTTGGGACAAATCATATGCTTTTTTATTTTTTTACTTTTTCATGGCTTTTGAAATCAGATCTAGGGAGTTGGGACCAACTGTATTATTACTTTTTCAATGCTAACGTTGAAAGTTGAGACTACTTCATCTTAATTACTGACCTCTCACGCACTCACCATTATTTAATTTAACAAAAAAAAATTAAAAATATATATATAAATCGGGCGCCTAGGCGCCTACGGGGGCGCCTAACGTCTTTTGCAACATTGATGGGTACAATAGGGGAATATGACAACATTTCTTTCTATTCATTGAGTGAATACTATAATTGTGAATACTTAGATTGGGGTGAGGAGAGTTTAGATTGTGAAGTTGAGGGTAGAATGATTGGAACGGATGTAGAAAAGAAACAAAATGGTGGTGAGATTAGCAATCAAAGTATGGAAGGTAAGAACAAATTGATGGTGATTGTTGACGTAAGTGTTGGGAGGATAACAAATAGTGAGGGTGGAAAAGGAGAAAATATATGGGAAGAAGGACACTATATACTCAAGGGAGTGAATTTGATTCCTCATGCATTTCCTATCCGTTTTTACATGATTATGTGCACCTTTTTCTTGTGTATACATTTGAAAATGTCCGCTACCTTGCGACATTTTTCAAATCTAAGGTGAATGAGACACATGGTCCGGTTCCCCTTCGTGTGTGTTTTGACATGTGATAAGCGTAAAAAGATGCTAGTTTTTAAGGACTTTTCGAAGGTGTTTTAAGCATGATTTAGCCTTAAAGTCGTGTACTTTATAGAGTTTTACCCCGAAAATGCGTTGTTGCACAGAGAAACCTTCCCAATTGTACTTTTTATGTTTTTAGGTATTTTTGGCTATTTCAATACACTAGCGATTAACCCGGGAGCCTCTGACCCACTATCAAGCATTCCGAGCCTTAGAACATAAACCAACAAGCAGGCTAGGCAGAGGATCCGAACACGGAACCTACCCTAGAACCGTATTTGTAGTTGTAACTGAACATATTTACTACATCATTTGACTCCATCTATGGGAAGCGGTACATAACAGGCCGTCCATTCCGCCTATACCAACTCTGAGCACAATGTATACGTATCTCAATTTCTTTAACGAGCAAGAGGCTGAGGATAGTAGCTCAGACCTCCGATCCCATCTCAACTCCCTATGGATCTTAATCACACTCCGGGGAGGGGAGCACCGCCGCCTGAGCTTATGAATGTCATCTAGTAGGGACCAGCGTTCTCAGCAGCTCCCGGCCAGATGCCGTATCCATACCTGACAAATCCAGGGGGAATGATTGATCTAGCGTTCTAGTGGTGGCAAGGTTCATCGAGATTCTACGCACCGCCTTACCCGTTCCAGCCAACTCCGGGGATGTACCCCCCGCAAATGTCACACCGATGCCGAATCCTCCAAAAGTTGTGGCAACTAGGGGGTTCAGGGCCAAGGAACCCGAGCTCCGCCTAGCTCAGTCAGAAAGGAGGGCACCGTCTACTCACCAGGAGAAACCCGCTCAGCCTCGACGGTCGGTTCAGTCTCGGTTAGGGTCGGATGCGGAGCCGAACCCCAGGACAAGTGCTTTCGACCAAATCCGGCCGCCAATACGGGAACGTTTGGGGGTCCATGGTGAAGGACGGATGTTCGTGGACCTCCCCGTAGCTAGTCGACGAGGCGATTAAGAGGAAGTTAGCTCATCCCGCTCTCACCCCTGCAGAGAAGGACGACGGGAAGGTCAAGTCGGTCTGCCCTAAGGAATCATGGATTAGGTCCGCCAAGAATTCAACAGGTGGAAACGAGAGCAAATGCCCCGATCTACCGAAGTCGGTGCGTCACTGTTGAGAAGTACCCGATCGACCTGCGCATTCCTGGAATAAGGATTACAGTGGGAAAACTGACCCGGAGGAACATATTAACTAATATTACGACAACATATTCATTATAGGGGTATCGGACGACGTGATATGCCGAGCTTTCTATTCTACTCGGTCAGGGAGGGCGCTGAGTGGTTTAAGTCGCTAGAGCCTGGGATGATAAGTAGCTTTGTCGACCTGGCTCGCAAGTTCGTGCAGCGGTTCGCCAACTCTAAGGCTGTTAGGAAACACTT